AAAATTAACAAATGCATAAATACAATAACAAATGTATATAGTAATGTGTATAGTACAACATATATGCAAAGTAACAAGAATAATTTTATATAACTATAAATCAAATCTGTTGAAAGAATATTTTGAAAATATGAAATGTTTAACTCAGTATTTTTACATATATTAATGAATAATTTAGAATGACAAAAAAAGGTTACAAAAAAAAAATCATTACTTTTGCTTTCACATATAATGAGGTAATAAATCCAGTTATTATATATTGTTCCAAGTATTATGTTAAATCAGAAAGAAAATCAAATTACAATTACAAATCACAAATATGCACTATTTTTTCACCTGAATAAAAAAAAAAAATTTTTTTTAAGTTTTAATAGTAATTTTGTGAAAATGCATATCTCAAATACAAAGAGATTATTGAACAAAAAAATCTTACAAGATCAGCACCATACTGCAATAATAGCTCAGCAACATCAGTATGACCATTTTCACAAGCATAAGTCAAAGCTGTATCACCAGTTTGAGTTTGTGTATGAACATCTGCATTAACCTCCAGTAAGTATCGAACTAAATCAAGATGTCCCTCTTGAGCTGCTTCCATCAAGGGCGTGGATGCACCTAACTCAATATTGGCTCCAGCTTTAATTAAATAATCAGCTACTTCTAAAAATCCTCCACAACAAGCCAAGGTTAAAGCAGTTTCTTGGGTCTCTTCAGTTGAGCATTTATGTTAGCGCCTATTATATTGAAAGTGACAAAATATTAAAAAAAAAAACTATTAAAACTTATATATGAGTTAGTACATAAATACACACAAACAAATATATATTCAATATCAATTGGGATTTAAAAAAAATCCCAATTAATATTTGATAAATAACCCAACTTTCCATATAATGCTTTACAATGTTATTTCAGATTCAAGAATAATGTCTTAAATTGAAGGCTGGCATGCATAAGTAACTAAATTAAATGTCAATTGCCTTGATAACAGAAGTCCAACACATTTCTTCATGACCCTCTCTTGCAGCCTCCATCAATGGAGTGTATCCTTCATCGTTTACTTCTTCAATATTTGCTCCTCGTTCAATAAGAAGCATTGCTAGATCTACATGTCCCCACAAGCTGCCAATGTCAAAGGAGATTCAAAACTATCTGTAGGCATATTAACCTGAAATCATAATTATTTTATATTTAACATTAATTAATTAATAATAGTCATCAGAAAATATATACATGTTTATATTTTGTTTCAGAAACTATGCTTATTAACTGTGTTATTGCAAATCGTTGCTATAGCAACACATTTGTGTGCCAAAATTTAAGATTTGAACTAAATAGATGTTTTATTTTATAGAGGTTGAAGAATTCACAGAAATGCTATTACAAGTTGTAAAACAAAGATTACATTAAATTAGTGCATATATTACTATAAGTAACTTGCATAGAAATATAAAACAAATCAATTTTTTATCGTATTAGATAGAGGATAGAGGGCTCGCGCGATAGAGTGTTTTACTGTTCCCAAATTCAAAACTAACGTCGTTCGTCGGCCTATGCGTCCGTAGGCCTATTGTACGGTACTACTATAAAACGACCGATTACGAACAAATACTTCAAACAAAAGAATTAATAATAATTTTCAATATGGCAAAGTGTCACGTACCACAGTGTTGAATATAGTACCACAGTGTTGAAATACAGTTCATAAAATAAAAAAATATAGCAGGGTACTAACAAAAGCCACATGCGTTAAGAACTGGGTGAAAAGCTATACAGGGTTTGAGGCACATTTGATAAAAAAAGAAAGCATTTCCAGAATTTCATTATTTATGTACGAGAAATTTTAATCAAGATCCATTGCAGTTTTTTTTTGGAAGTATGATGGTCGGAGATGTTCAATTTTCTGATTCATTTACATTGTTTATTGTTAATAACTGATGCAATACTGTAAAATGATATCTTTCAGGAAAATTTATAAATGAAAATGAACAAGATCACACGAAACAATAGTTTTCGAAAAGTACAAGAGAAGTCTCAGGGTCAATAAAACTCGACAGACAGAAAAAAAAAACATGTATTTTTTAATGTATATGAAAATATATTTTTATGAGTATGTTTTGTTCTCGTTAAAATTTCAGATTCATTGTAACAATGTTATATATAAATTTATCTTAGAATTAAACCTAGGGATTTAACTAGAACTGAGCCGAAGGGTAAATTTACATACTACACTCGTCGAGCCTCTATAGCAGGAGCGGAAAATTAAAGTTAAAATAATCAAAAAGCGGTTTTGTTGCTATCTATTTATACATGATTATCTATGATTAAATTATAAGAAATATTGTGCATAAAATAGAAGACTTAAAACAGTGAAAAAAAGTTTTAACAACGACATGCACTTAATTAAATGTTAAAATATTTTACCTGTGCACCAGAATCTAAAGAAGACGAGCTACTTCAACATGACCATCCATTGAAGCCTCCATTAAAGCCGTATGCATTTCATCAGTCTTGTGCTCTTGATCAGCACCAGCCAATAACAAGAACCTAACCATATCTAAATGACCTTTGTAGCAGGCTAGGGTCAAAGCACTCTCTTTGAATTCATTGGAGTGTGTATTGATGCCAGCACCATTTTCTAGTAGAATCTATAGATTGTGGGTACAATAATGTTTGGTAGTGAAAATCTCTTTGTGAAAATATTATATTATTATATAATTATATAATATATATTATGCTTAGCAAAATTGTTACATTTAATTAAATTAGAATTGATACACTTAAGCAAATAGAGTAATAAATTTACTCCATAGTAGAAATTAGTTCATTTATTATTATTAACCACTTCGGTGCGAGCTGCAAGTTCAGTTTTTTCTTCTTATTAATACATAAGTATTAAATTTCAACTTAATTTTGAACATAAGATAAATTTTGAAAAGTAATGAGACAGTAATAGCGTAAATGTATGCATAAGGTACCTTGGCAACTCCCACATGACCAGCAGAAGCAGCTTCCATGAGGGGAGTATGACCATTTTCATTGTGATCTTCTACATTAGCCCCATTTGCTAGTAAAATCTTTACAACTTCATCATGACCACCAGCACATCCATACATTAAAGGTGTATTACCTATAAGAAATGCAAGTGATTGAGTTGAATGTTGATGACAATAGAGCATAAATATTATAATATATGTAATATTTAATAAAAAAAATATAATACGTAATATTTTTGAATGTGCAGTAAAAAACATAACAGAAAATTAAAATATGTGAAATTGTTAATATTTAATGTAAACACATATGTATAATATATGTACTCAAAGATTTGAATCAAACATATAATCTTTGTTCGCAAACTATATGAAATGAGTTGTAAATAATTGTAAATATTTTTGCAAAAAGTAATTATTCAAACATAAAAATAAGTTTAAAAAAATAATTGTATTATAAGCTGAGGAGATTCATAGTCAATCATTTTTAACTCTTATTTGTGAATCCAAAGACAAAAAGTATGAAGTGAAAGTAAAACTAACGGAGCTATCAAAACATACTGTAGGGAACACTATACTCATACATATTGTGCACGATCTATTTTCACAACTGTAATTCATTTTTTTTTTAAATTAAACCACTTCTCACAGGCCTGTAATATTTTAAGATGTTCGGTTTGACTTTAAACTCTATCACCAGACAAAGTTTTATCAAAATTCCTGAAGATTAAACCTGAGGTTGTCCTCATAAGATATTTTACACACTGTAACACATGTAATGCATATATTATATAATAACTTATGCATGTACTCAATATATTTGTAACTGTTTTCTCAGATGCTTAAGTAATGTTTAATGTTTTATATACTTCATCCATTGTTATTATTGTAATATACAATGAATGTAATGCTTAGAAAAATATCAAACTTCTAATAACTATTTAGAAATAAACAATCATTCTCATTACAATCATTTCTGTTAAAACACAGTATCAAACTTATGCCAAATAATAAATGAATGACAAAACGAGTTGCAACAATATAAATGGTACAGATCGGTAATATGATTTGCTGGTCTAAGTTCAATTTTATGATCCAGCATAAAATCAAAAATTCACAATTTTAAATGGTATTACTATTGCAGAAAAAAATATTATAAAAGCTTATATAGACAAATTTTATCATCTTATATCACTTTGTCTTAACTTTGTTATCTTATCATCTTATATCACTTGCTAACCTGATGAAGATTGCGCATTAACATCTGCACCATTTTCAATAAGGAGTGTAACCATCTGAGCATGCCCTGCAGAAGCAGCTTCCATTATTGGAGTGCAATCACCTTTTATTCCCCTATCTTCCACATTAGCATTCATAGCAATGAGTACCTGAAGAAAGCAAAAAAGTTTATCTCAGTACTTTTAACTACTTATTTATTACAAATGCACATTTCAGCTGAATTATGAAAAAAAATCTTTGCAAGTCCTTTATCTTCTTTTTACCAATAGATGCCTACACATAATCAAGAAACTAACCTGAGCTAATTCATAGTAACCCGCAGAGCAAGCTAAAGATAGTAAGGATTCACCATCTTCTGTTGTTTCATGAACTGAGCGACCTTCTGTTAAAAGCCTTCTAACTGTACCAACATCTCCATCAGAACATGCTTCCACTAAAGTTCTAGCAAGGTTACTGAAAAATATTAATTCATATCATACAAAAAAAAATTTAGAGCTTCAACAAATTATTTGTGATATAGTATTATTACTATTAATAATATTTATATCCCAGTTAATGCTTAATTACATTCATAATGATAAAAAGTCAACTGTTTAAATTAAGATTCTATTTACCACTTTTTGTAAAATGGAACAACATCGAGATTCGAAATTGTTTATTAATTTTAAATCTATGATTAGGAAAACTTAACTAAATCGGTGTGCACACAATGTATAAAAATTAATGACAGTTAAATTTTTTTTTTAAAAAACAAGAGATCTAAATAATTATATAAAAAAGTAAGTAAAATAATACAATTACCATTTAATCTTTATAACTACATTCATATAATCTTACAATTAATGTAATATAATTATATTCACCTCTTTTCGGAATGTCGTGGATTATCAGATCTCATTCGTGTTAGGGCAGCAGCTGCTTCATCCAAGGCACAAGAAACAGATGATGTGTCAATCGACGCAAAACATCTGGATCTGCCAAATGCTTGCCATCCCCTGATGACATTTGCCAATACCTGAAATACATCAGATTTTGCAATTAAATTAAAGGTAGACTTGTGTATTGTTTAACACTATAACATTTTAAATATATTTTGTACTAATGAGTTAGTACCAGTTTCTACTTATCACATAATATAATAAGCACTTAATTTTGAAATTCATCCAATTTGAATCTCACCTGCAGCCTCCAGCAGTGCTTCCAAACGTGCCTGAGTTTCAGGATCAACTGTTCTTCCATTCTCATCGGATTCAAGAAGAAATGCACCATCTCCAACTTCTGCGTCCTCCAAATCCTGTCACAATACAATTTACAAAATTTATTGAATTTATTATACTATAAGAAAATCACATATAGAACAACATGCTCAGTTCCACATACTTGTATTAAAAGGTTTAAATTGCAAGTATTATAAAAAAAGCAAAAGATTCATGTATAACTTAGATAAGTTAGCAATAGTTTCTTAAATACAAATAATTTTTTTTACAAATTTATGTGTGTGACAATTTGTGCAAGATGGACATAAAAACTAAAACATAATACTACTTTATAATAGGTTACATACAGGCAACATCTTTGGATGAGCTGGAGTCAGGAATTCAGTGGAATGAAGTTTAAAAGAGAACACAGGTGATATACTTGCACAAATATGTAAATAAATCTTTCACAATGTCACCACTCTATTCACAGAAAAAATATCTTTATATTTAAAATGCAATGAAAGGATAACAAAAATCCTTCTAAAACACTATTGAGAACAAAAAAACTAATGACTCATTTGTTTTACTAAATACCACTTATCTTATTCAAAACAAAAACAAAAACAATTGACAGCTGATAACATTAGTAAATATATGGAAATAGCGACCCAGTATACTCAATGTTAACAATATAAAAATACAAAAACAAAATTTATAATCATTTGATGCACTTGAGTTATGCAGTTCACAGACAAAGTAGCCAACATTCATAAAGCTAATATATTAATCAATTTGCAGGTGAATAGTCTTTAATTCGCTTGTAAGTAAGAAAAATATATTAGAGTAATATGAAAAGGTAAGCTTACTGGGTCACTTACCAAAAGACTCGACCTAAGGCACAAACAAGCCAGCAATATCTACAATATTAAACAAAAACTTTATTATTATCAAATCTTTATGTCAAAAACTATTGTTGGCACTAAATTTACTTCAAACCGTAAGATCATATCAAATAAAATACTTTACTACATTTACAAAATTGCTTATAATTTACAATGCTCTACTTTGTTCTACGTATTTAAGTAATTTCGCTTTACGGCCCCGCTACTTTTTCTAAATAATTACTAACACTTAACAAAAATATTTTCATACAATAGTTAACGAGTAATTGCACAAACACTATCCACACGTCGAAAATCTCTAATATTTTCGATATGAAACAGATTTACAAAAGTGATTACAAGAGCTCACAAAATGTCCCATCACTTGATTGCCGACTATATAAAATATAACTAAACTAACCAAATGTCAGTCGTTCATACCTCGGACACTGATTCTTCATCACTATCAGAAGAATCTAATTCAGCAAAATCAGCCTTTTGTCCACAATACGGATCACTTTCAATGTCCGCTGTACTACAATTAGAACTATGGGGAGTCGACAATTTTGCAGTATCTAGTTGTTGCACAGACACTTTATCTTGATTCTGAGTTATAGAACGTCCTATATTCTGCATCGTTTTATTATTATAACGAGTGCTCAACTAAATTTCCCGTGCTTGTTAGTTTAAAATACTATAAACACTCATTCACTAAATATTTACACTAAATATCCTTTCAATTTTCATTATACATGTCCGCCATATCTTCTACGATGGCGAGGTCCCGGATGCTTAACTATACCAAATCATACTTGTAGCCACAACTACGAACCGAGTACTTCTAACTTCACTCCAGTGTTGCCGCAAACGACAATTTTTTCGGCATTCAACATTTGATTTCAAATACACATTAGCACAAAATTATTAATGTTTCTAGTATATTTCACAAATAAGTATACTTGCGTGAACATGTCTTCTTTGCAATTGTATGCTTAGACTAGCTTAGACAATGGTCCTAGACAATATAATAATAATGACAATGGTTGTGAGATTTCAAAGCTTTTGCTGTTTCTTCAAAACTAAAAGAAATCACATAAATATTCGTATATATATGATTAATTTTTTGGAGGGCGTAACATAAAGTAAAAAATAATTAAAGTAAATATTTTTAAAACGTCTTTATTTTTCTATACGTTTCGACGTAAAATTCTACGTCATCATCAGTGGTTCTACAATTTTGAAATAAACAGGAAAAGTTAAAAACAGAGAAAGTTTGTGTTTATTTCAAAATCGAAGAACCATTGATGATGACGTAGAATTTTACGCGAAACGTATGGAAAAATAAAGATGTTTTAAAAATCTTTACTTTAATTATCTGTTACTTTATGTTACGCCCTCCAAGAAATTAATCATACATTTCAACATGAAATTTATTTATATATATATATATATATATATATATATCTTGAGGATTTTTTGTTCGACGTTGAAACATATTGAAAGAATAAAACAGCCAATGCGTCGAATGTAGAAAATTTATTTTAATTTTATACGTTTCGAGACTAAATGTGTCTCATCATTCAGCAGATCAGGAAAAAACACACTATACTAACACATTTTTTACAACACCACAATCACATGATACTACTGTAAGAAAGCAAAAATAATTTAAGAAAAGACCAAAAAAGGTAAAAGTAAAATTGTATGAAACACATAATTTTTTTACAGATAGCATAGCAACGCAGTATGACTTAATTTGAAAACATATTCAAGATGTGAAATTGCAGCCAAAAAGTCTAAATAAAAAACAATAAACAATTTATTTATAAAACGAACAATTATAACTTTCATAATGTATGAGGAAAATATTTGCAGTCAAAATAAGAACAAAAGGATATTTTGATTAATATAGTGTTAATATAACTTTTACGAAAAAGTAAGTGTATGCTCGGGCCTCTTTGACATCGTTGTAATTATACCATAGACGAAAGAACTATGTTTCATAAGACTTGCGATGCATAACAGAAAATAACTTTCTTGTATTAAAATTGTACTAATTATGCTTTGTACTTACAACTGAACAGTAACGATAAGCAAAACATTGAACGTAGCAGTTTGGAAATCTCAATACCCACTTACACTACTAATATCTTTGTAGTTTGTAATATTAGTAATATAAGTACATAATAATAAAACAATAATAATATATATATATATATTATATATATTATATTTATATTAATTTGTATCTAAACTTAAAATTTTCATATACTTTATGGTGGACAGTATAACTAGAAAATATTTATAATTCAATGTTAAAATGGTATTTTGGTAGTCAAGTCTTGCAAATCAATAAATCATCCAAGTGGCTATTGATATCAAAATTATGTAATATAAAAAATAGAAACTAAAAAATAAAATAAATTGAAAATAATGTTATTATGTACATATTCATATATATTATGAAAATTTATATTCGTAAAATGCAAGCAAAACAACATTCAAAAGTACAATATATCAACTATACGATACAATAAAATAGATATTTTTTACATATACTTCAGGGGTTAAACAAATATAATCAATCCACCTAGTTCTAAATAATTGTATGTATAGTAATCCAGTTATAATCTAAATAGATAGATGTTTTGTTATCATTCTAGCTTATAAGTAATGAGCTTTAGCTTATTTTAATAGTTATATACATATTAATTTTACATTTATTGAAATAACTCATAAGAAAATATGAATTATAATACAAATAATTACAAAAAAAAATAGAAGTGTATCAAGTGCTTAGACCATATCGAGAAAAAAATACATTAGATTTATATTATAATATCTTTAGATATTATAGTTAGAATTTATATCTGAAGTTATGGATGAAAACTAACAATAACAATGATGCATTATATTTTGCCTTGATAAATATATTCCATACATTTTACTCATTAAACAAGTTTTAACGCTAAACAATTTATTCATTGCTGAAGTTTCATAAGAGGTATAACTCGTACATAAATTGAAGTAATGTATAAAACTTCATTTCAAATCACAAGACATTAAGATTAAACACATGGTAGTACAAATAGACACACTGTAACCCAGTAAACTTATAATAAAAAAAAAACTGAACTGAACAATTATTCCAGTGATTTATCTATACCCAAATAAATGTATAAACATCCAAAATTCATTAAAAATATGGCATAATACCTATAATATCAGTAATGTTAAATATTATGCCAATTTGTTGTTTGGCCAAGAAAGATTAAAGTATTTTCTTTGATATATTTGATGTTTCAAAAACAAATTAAATTCATTGCAAAATACAATAAAAATGATTTAGGAATCAAAATACTAAGTTCAATTATTAAATACAATCATATAACTAAACAATAACCTAATCAATTTAAACACTTTTATTCAGCTATATAAATGTAAAGAACTCAACATTTAAACATCCATATCTGGCAGCACAAAAGCCACGATTTTGATACTCTAAAATAAAGGAGGCTGTTAAATCAGAAGCTAGCATATGTGTTGCCATCTTAAACAAAATTAATAATATGAATATAAAAAAAACAATGTTTGACAAAATTATAGATGCACACACACACACACACACACACAGGCATATATTATATATATATATATATGTATATAAAGAAGGTATAAATTTTTTTTACTTCATTTTTTGTTTTTACTCGATGTTACACTCTTCAAGAAATTAATCATATTTTTCAACATCAAATGTAACTACTCTTAACTAACTATATATATATATATATATATAGATATATATATATATATATATATATATATATATATATATATATAGACGTTAAGAGTAGTTACATTTGATGTTGAAAAATATGATTAATTTCTTGAAGAGTGTAACATCAAGTAAAAACAAAAAATTAAGTAAAAAAAAAATTATACCTTCTTTATCGTTCTATATGTTTCTACGTAAAATTCAATGTTTTCATCAGTGGTTTAAAATGTCTTAAAATAACACTAAGTCATAATAATGACAACTAACATGTAAGTAATTATTAATTGCAATGGAGCACTAAATGTCAGTAATCACATTTTTTAAAAATATCTTTTTGAAAACATATTGTAGAAACGTATTACCGACCATCCGAGCGACATTTAGTTTCTGTAATGATAAATTTGTTGGTAATGGTAGTCGGCATTTCTCTACAATTTGTTTTTACTTGATGAAATTACCGACCATCCGAGCGACATTTAGTTTCTGTAATGATAAATTTGTTGGTAATGGTAGTCGGCATTTCTTTACAATTTGTTTTTAAAAAAGTATTTTATAAAAAAAAAAAGTGACCCTGACACTTTATTGCAATTAATAATTACATGTTAATTGCAATTATTTTGTGTTACTGTTATTCTAAGAATTTTTAAAGCACTGATGATGACTTACAATTAGAATTTTATATCAAAACATCTGGAACAATAAAGTGATTATAAAAATCTTTGCTTCAATTCTGTTTACTTGATGTTACATCCTCCAAGAGATATATATATATATATATATATATATAAATAAGAATTAATATTAGAATTCATACGTTTCAATTAAAATCCTAGCCTTTATTCATTGGAGAAATTTGCTAATGTTAGTGTTAGAAACAAAAAATTCAATAATCTATAGTATAAAGGTATGGCAACGCAATGCACTATGTACTACAAACATTAAACTTGTAATTATAACAATATTTCACAATTATACTGAGATTAAATTTTCACAAAAAGTGTGCAATTTATGTGTTAAACTAGTTAAAGACAATATTTGTGTACTTATTCTTATGTGATAATTTAATGTTATTGAAATTATGAATTATTGTAATAATTACTTCTATGTTTATATTACATAGTGTTGTGCATTACCATATCTCTATACTATGGATTATTGAATATTCTGTTTTTATACTAAGATTACCTTATTTCTCCACTGAATGAAGGGTAAGATTTTGTCGAAATGTATGGATTGTAAAATCAACTCTTAGAAGAAATTTATGTTTATTTATTGATGTTATGCCCTATTATTTTGACTTTAGAATTACACAACACACAACACACATACACACACATTCATTATTCATATGAATGAATGCATACATACAAAAGATTTACAAACATTTACATAATCGGAAACAATTAAAATACAAGCATTGTGAACAGATCAATGTAGGCTTTAATTACAATTTGCAGAAATAAACAAACACACAAACACACACACACACACACATATATATATATATATATATATATATATATATATATATATATATATATTGAGGATTTTTTGTTCGACGTTGAAACATATTGAAATGAATAAAACAGCCAATGCGTCGAATGTAAAGAATTACATTCGACGCATTGGCTGTTTTATTCATTTCAATATATATATATATATATATATATATATATATATATATATATATGTGTGTGTGTGTGTACACAAGTAAAATACTTATTCACGTATGCATATTCACATAAACATACAGATTCATATACACATATATGAACACATCTACATATATAGATACATATGCATACACCTATGAGGATATTGTGTGTATAGAAGTATGTGGTGCGTGTGGTGTGTGTATGTATGTGTATATATATATATGTATATATATATGTATGTATGTATGTATGTGTATACATATATATATATATATATATATATATATATATATATATATCAGGGTGGTTCTTAATATGGACATTTTCAAATTTCCTTGCTCCCAAGCAAGGACTTTTACTAACTTT